AAGCTCCAAGAAAGGGAGGAGGATACAGATAATTAAGTGTCTAATAGGAGAGATGAAGGAAGGGGGAAGGAAGAAAGTATTGGGCCATGAGGAGCCCATTGTTTATTTGCCAGGGATTTATGACATGCCTTCTGTATACCTAGGCTTTGTGCACTGCCTGGGGTATGCGAAGATGCATAAGGCATGCTCTGGAAGGGAACACAGACCATGGGGGAGGCTAACACATGAACAGTGAACCCCACTAGAGAGTGATGGCTACTGCCCAGGGGTGCAACTGATTCTCTGTTTTCTTCTGTAATTGGCTAATTGTCCCTGCAGGCAATTTCCATAGAGAAATTCCAGCTATGGCATCTGGAATGGCAGCCTCATTGCAGTAATTGTGTTTCCAGCCTCCCAAGATAAGATCTTTGAAGGCCAGCACTCATCTCAATGCATAAGGCCTGTGATTTGTTGCAAAGTCAGTCTCATTACTTTATAATCACATATCAGATTCAATCCTTACAGATGACAAATATGGGGACAAAAACGAACGCTTCTGAGGGCTGCAGTTTGCAATTTTGAGGCAGAAACAGACTGAAATGGGAAGGTGTTTTTGAACAGTCAGGGCCAGCCCAGAGCAGAGGCCCCGAGGATGCTGGATAGCATTCCTGGCAAAACTTCAAGACTCTGACATTATAAAGCCACAGAACAGTAATGGGTTAACCCATGAGATGTTAACATCTAACTAATGTCGGCTCATGCATGTTATAGGGAGATCTGGCTTGGAATGTCTGGGATCAGCCTGCTGAAGCTGTTCAGGGCTGCTGGGGAGGTCAGCACAGCGTGGGCATTTCCTGAGGTCAGACTCAATGGGGATGAGGCTGGGGGTGTGTGGGGATTTAACCAAAAAGCGTAAGCCACATGTAGGTTGTGGTGGGGCACTTTAACTAGATTTAATGGGTATGAATTTTACTCTACAACATGAGATATAAGGTAAGGATTTTTCCTTCTCCAATTTCAATTTAATTTATTCCCAGCCCACATTCTACCAGGCTGATGAAAAATTCTATCTTAGCCAAAATGGGGACCCTTTTCCCCCACTCTATGCCTTCCTTGAGTTTTGGTCATAGCATCTTAAAACTGCAGGATATTTGCTGGGCACTTTCTGGTGTTCAGTCCTCACGGACATGTCCAATTTTGTAGCTCACCTAGTCTCTTGATGCTTAGCTGCCTCTCTGCAAGCTGGCACAAAGGGCCTTTGCTATGACCAAGTTCCTTTTGCACAGGATAGGGTTGAGTCACCTAGATGCATCCCAGAGAGGTGTTCCCAGGGTCTCAGCACCTGCCAGGGGTCAGGCAAGGGAGCAGGAAGTGGATCCTTGGTATTTTCAGGATCCCTCCAACTCTGTCCCCTCTTAGTCTTGTAAATCTTTCCCACCCTCTCCAATGTCTGGCTGTGTCCCTCTGCTGTCCGATCCCAAGCCCCAGGACCATCCTCTTTTCAGAAAACCTATTTCTTTGTATCCAAGATCACATACTTTAAGAAACAAAAGTCTTTTAAGCCTGCCTTGTGGCAAAGGAGCACAGTTTCTAGGACTCAGAGCCCTACTTCTCCCTCTTGGGAGGAAAAAGGGGAAGTGGGTGGTACCTCCTATTCTCTCTAATTTTTCTATGGCTGTTGAGACCAAAATTATACTTTCTTTCCCACATATGCATTGAGTATAGCTTGGTGGTAAAGAGAGGAATCAAAGCACAAGCAAAACTTGTAGACAAGATGGTCAGAAGTGAAGCAGGCAGATGAATGACTACTTCAAAGAACACAGAGCATCCTACCACGCTCTCCATCCATGGGCACCCTCATGGTCTTTGACCAACTGGGATAGATGTAGAAAAGACCCAGATGGAGCTGGGTGTGTAGGAGTGTTAGGGCCCAGGAGGAAACTTCCACTATGAATGAGATTCGTAAAGGCATGCTGTTCTATTCTGTGGCCTTGGATGAATATTTATCCAGAGCCTCCCATGTGCCAGGCAACGTGTAGGGCACACAAGGGCTTTGAGGGCCGGCAGAAGGAACGAGCGATGTGGTGGAGGTACAGGTACGAGGATGCAACACCACAATCTCCATCATGCAGACAGCTCTTGAGCCAGCTTATGGCTGTGTTGGTGATTGGGGAATCTGCCAGGAGACTCCAGACACTGAAGAAGGCCTCCCTGGTCAATTTCTTACAAAGCCTCCAAAAGTGTTTCCCTGAAAGCCTCTTCAAACATGGTCATCATTGTCTTAAAAATAACTTTTCTGAATCCATGTTTCTTCACTTTGTAGTTTGCTGTCATAAAACTGTCTTTCCCCATACCCTCTCTCCTGGCACAAAGGGAACTTCATGTGGCCCTGAGGTTGGGCCCTTCTCTCCTGCTTCTGCTGAAATTGGAGAGTTGGTGGGGAGAGCCTCTCGGATTGCCTCCCACAACACCCCGTAGCATTCAGACTTAGATGGAGGGGGTCACTGGAGGGACACCCTGTCCCCACGCAGCACAGTCCCGGGAAGGCCACTCTACATGGTGGTTTCGCAGGCCTTCCCGGTCACTGGGACCAGGCCACTCCTGGCTCTTCATTTCTTGGATCTCAGCTTCTTACGTTTGTTTTGTTTTGTTTTGTTTTGAGATAGGGCCTGTACTCTGTTGAGCAGGCTGGAGTACAGTGGTATGATCTTGGTTCACTGTGGCCTGAGCTCAAGCAATCCTCCTACCTTAGCCTCCTCAGAAGCTGGGACTACGGGTGCATGCCACCATGCCTGGCTAATTTTGGTGTTTTTTGTAGAGACAGGGTTTCACCATGTTGCCCAGGCTGGTCTAGAACTCCTGGGCTCAAGCAGTCTGCCTGTCTTGCCCCCCTTAAAGTGCTGGGATTACAAGTGTGAGCTGCTGAGATTACAGGCATGAGTCACTGCACCCAGCCAGGGCTCTTACCTTTTATTTATTTATTTATTTATTTATTTATTTGTTTTTTTTGGTTTTTTTTTTGAGACGGAGTCTCGCTCTGTCGCCCAGGCTGGAGTGCAGTGGCGCGATCTCCGCTCACTGCAAGCTCCGCCTCCCGGGTTCACGCCATTCTCCTGCCTCAGCCTCCCGTGTAGCTGGGACTATAGGTGCCCACCACTGCGCCCAGCTAAAATTTGTATTTTTAGTAGAGACGGGGTTTCACCGTGTTAGCCAGGATGGTCTCCATCTCCTGACCTCGTGATCCGCCCGTCTCAGCCTCCCAAAGTGCTGGGATTATAGGCGTGAACCACCGCGCCCGGCTTTTTTTTTTTTTTTTATACTTTAAGTTCTAGGGTACATGTGCACAACGTGCAGGTTTGTTACATATGTATACATGTGCCATGTTGGTGTGCTGCACCCATTAACTCGTCATTTACATTAGGTATATCTCCTAATGCTATCCCTCCCCCCATCCCCTCCCCACAATAGGACCCGGTGTGTGATGCTCCCCTTCCTGTGTCCAAGTGATCTCATTGTTCAATTCCCACCTATGAGTGAGAACATGTGGTATTTGGTTTTCTGTTCTTCCGATAGTTTGCTGAGAATGATGGTTTCCAGCTGCGTCCATGCCCCTACAAAGGACACAAACTCATTCTTTTTTATGGCTGCATGGTATTCCATGGTGTATATGTGCAGGGCTCTTATCTTTAAGACTGGATGTCACTGTTTCTTCTTCATTTTCCAGCTTTTTTTTTTTTTTCTTAGCACTTGTCTCCTTCTGGAGTGCCAGCACAATGGCGTGATCTTGGCTCACTGCAACATCCACCTCCTGGGTTCAAACAATTCTCCTGTCTCAGCCTCCTGAGTAGCTGGGATTACAGGTGCCCAAAAACATGCCCCATTAATTTTTGTATTTTTAGTAGAGACGGGATTTCACCATGTTGGCCAACTGGTCTTAAACTCTTGACCTCAGGTGGTCCACCCACCTTGGCCTCCCAAAGTGCTGTGGGATTATAGGCGTGAGCCACTGGGCCCGGCCCCAGGGACAGATCTTTTTGTTCTTGTTCTTGTTCTTTTTCTCTTTCTTCTTCTTTCTCTTATTTGTCCTCCTCCTCTTCCTCCTCTTCATCTTCCTCTTCTCATGGTAGGTCTAAAGTTCCATGACATTCCAGACCACGGAGGAACACAGGTCTCGAGGCAGCCTGGAGTGAGGAAAGGGTCTATCAGTATTATGGGTTGCTATAAAAGGTTATATTTAATCCCATCTTACATGATTCGTTATTATGATTAATTGACTATACAACTAGAGGTATAGAAGTGTACAGATAATCGGACCACTGGCTGGGAATGTAACCCTCCAGCACACCATGGATTATCTGTGAAGTTCAGATTCAGGCTTCATTAGTTTGACTCACAGTTCCTTTCTCTTGAGAGTTTATGAACTGGTTCATAACCGCATTTAGGTATACCTGTTTGTTAGTTTCTCTCAAAGCTTGGCTATTCTAATGCATCTCCATTTTTGAGCCTGGATCTCCAAGAAGGGACCCCCAAAATCTTGGCCAGTGACAGTGGGAATGGCAAAGAGAGCAAGAAGCTTGCTGCTTTGTGATAGAATCAATACTTCTAGTTCAGAACCTGGATAGATGTGGAGATACCTTGTGACAGTAATGGATGAGAGGCCCCCAAATCAACATGATCAGTGTCCATAAGAGGGGACAGAGCTGGGGTAGTGGAACATTTCCCTCCTTCCTGTGACCTTTTCCTTGGGAACAGAAGATCTCAGGCTAGTTTTCAGGATAACTCAGACTTTCAATTTCCTACTCCCCCAGAAAACAGCTAGGTAGAACACAGACCCACTACTGGGAATCAATTCCAGACACAGGTAGGACATGTGCCTGCCTTTTTCTCTCTTCCAGGGAGATTCTCTGTTATCATTCGGTAGAGGTTTGCAAGTGGCATGTGTCAAGGAAAGCCTTCTAATTTACCTCCCACAGTTGATTTTCTATTTACATGTCCTTTTTTTTGGTTAATTTATTTTTCAGAGAAATAAAACCAAAGTTTCCTGGTGCCAGCCTCAGAGCTGGATCCCAATCATATGGGTGGCAGAGATGAAGCAGAAGAGGCCTCCCCAGCTCCAGCTAAGATCATGGAGATGGACGGAAGGTCAGAAACACCTATGCTACAGCAGATCTACAAATAAAGAAACTGGTGCCTCTTTTCTGGAACTTAGAGACTTTCAGAGACCAGTTAGCAAGCAGTGGCTGGAAAGTGAGACTCCACTGGGGCATTGTGGGACTGGCAAATCTGTAGATGCGCTGGGCCAGGTCCTTCCCCTTGGCCTTTTGATCCTGTTCCTCCTGCAGTCATTAATTCTACAGTGCCATCAGCTATGATGGGTTCAGATACGTCTTTGTCCAACTCCCTTTCAGATGCTGGAGTTGGCTGATTACACTGGGACGCTGCCATAGAGATGTGGGGCTGTATCTCATTCTAGAGCTTTGGACAGAGTGCAGAGGCAGACACTCCATGAGCTTCCCAGCCGAAGAAGTGGAGAAGAAAGGAGCAGTGTGTGGTTTTTGTACTAGTACGACCTGTGGCTTGTTGCTTATTTATCCGTGGCATCCACGGTACAGGTCAGGGTAAAAGGAGGAGGATAATAAAGACAGGGGTAAAGCTGGTGGTCAAGAGACATGCATCAGGGATGCACTTGGAGGCATTGATTGATATGTGATGTATTACCTATCAATTAGTCCCTTAGTCTCTCTGTAAGCTCTGATGCTAAAGGCTGGAGTGTGTGTGTTGGCACTCCTGTGTTTGCGGTAATTGATAGGTTTCACTACCTGTCACGTAGTAGGCACTTAGTAAATGCTTGAGGCTCTGGAAAGAACAATTCTATAACAAAGCAGCAAGTTTTCTGCTCTCTCCACCATCCCCGCTGTCACTGGCCAAGACCTCGGGAGTTCCTTCTTGGGGATCCAGGCTCACAAATGGAGGTTGATTCAATAACTCCCCGAATGTAACCACAAGCAGGTGCTTGGTAGATGCTTTGGATTATTGACTCTTTTCAGAGTGTCTGACAGACCGGGAGCTCCCTTCTCCCCTCCAATGAGGGCGATACTAATTCTGGAAAACAGTGAGTGGTAGCCCAGGCTCTGCCCAGACCCACAATATTGGTTTGAACATTTGTTTCTGGTGAAATACTGTGTCTTGAAATTCTCTTCCTTGGATCACTCCACTCTCTCCTTAAGTTACTTTGTGCTCCTTTGTTCTGGACTGCAGCTTCAATGCCACATTAATGCAGACTGATCAGGACAGCTCTCTGCAGCTTAAGTCTTGGGAGCTGAGCCTCTCAGGAAACTATTTTCTCCCTGTAGGCAGCTCCAGCAGGAGAAGCGATGGGAGAGGCAGGCTGAGACTCTTGACTCAAAGGAGGGATTAATTATGAATCTCATCCAACTGCTCTATCCCTGTCTCAGGCTGTCACCAATACTTAAGAGCTGACAATACAGCTGTTTTCAATGAGCATTTTCACCTGGGAAATTTAAGGTTCTTTAGAAACATCATCTGAAGATCCATCTTAATACCCTGGAAGCAAAGTGTAATGAACCCCCTGGATGCTTGAATGTAAAATCACTTGAGAAAGCATTAGAGAAGGACAAATGTGTTATAGTGGAAACAGCGTGAGGTTTAGAGGCAGAAGAGGTCTAATTCTGTGTCCTGGTTCTTCCATTCATGGGATGTATCATGTTGAACAAGTAACTGAAACTCTTGGATTCATTTCCTTGGCTGGAGACATGGAGTTAATAAAATACTCACGATTTAGTGAACATCTATTATTAATTCACTGTAAAATGGGGATTATGTAATAGCCACAACTTAGGGAGCTCCTCCTGTGATATGTTACATTTTGTTATCTGTATTTCACTTTAATCTGCAAAAGATTTGAGCCAAATCTCTCTCTTAAACACCCATGCACATGCACACACACATGTGTGTATCTATTAAATTCAAGACAATAAAATAAAAAAGTCAGGGTAAAAGTAGGAAGGCAATAAAAACAGGAGTAAGGACTGACACTCAGAGATGTGCACCAGGAATGCACGTGGAGGCATTAATTGACAAGTGTCTTATTCTTGATAACCCCTCTGTCTCCTTCCTTCCCATCTCCCTGTCTCATGCTCCCAACCCCCAGCCCAACCCTCAACCTGGTCACCATCCTTACAAGCAGAAATGCAGACACAGTCAATATTTACGTCAGGTTCGGCATTACAAAATAGATCTTTGAAACATATAACCAAGACCAACATTTCAGAGAAAAGGGTTGCTTGGGATCAAAAGTTAAAGTCCTAAAGGATGCAGGGCACAAGGCTTCTGGAAAGAACAGATGGGGAGCCCTATTGTTCAGCCTGACTAGACAGAGCTCTCTCAGGCTGGAGAAGTCGATGTGGTCATGAAGATCAGACACTGTGAAATTCCCTGGTAAGGCCAGTGGCCATAGCAGAAGCTACGAGGAGGGTGTGAGTGATGGTAAAAAAGCAACAGAAACAAGAAAGCAACAGGAGAGGCTACCTGGACAGCTGATGAGCAGGGCTATTGATAGATGCAACCATCACCTTCTGTCTTGGTCTGTTCTGGCTGCTATAATAAAATACTTTAGTCTAGATAATTTATAAGCCACAGAAATGTATTTCTCACAGTTCTGGAGGTTGAGAAGTCCATAATCAACGTGCCAGCAGATTGAGTGAGGGCTTATCCTCTGCTCCAAAGAGGTGCCTTCTTGCTGTGTTCTCATATGCCGCAGGCAGAGGGCAAAAAGGGCCAAACAACCTCTCTGGAGGCCTTTTCTAAGAGCATTGATCCCATTCATGATGGTGGAGCTCTCGTGACCTAATCACCTCCTACAGGCCCCACTTCTTAACACTATTTTATTGGGACTACATTTCAACATAAATTTTGGATGGATACATACATTCAGACCACAGCCCCTTCCCTGTTCCAGCACTGTGTGGGCTCCTGAGAACATCTAAGCAACCCCAGTGAGAAAAGGCAGCGAGGGAAAATACACCCAATGGGCTGGAAAAATCTGGATTGACTAGAAGCCAGTTTGCATGGACAGGCAGAATAGAGGCTTGGAACAGAAAATGAGTTAGGAAAACATAAGACAGTTCCATTTTTGCATTCCTTCTTGCATGGCCTGAGAAAGTCATCCCTGTTCTTTGTAAGGTGTTTCCACCTGGTTTCTGATGTTGATCTGTGCCAGGATTAGCTAAGGCATCTTCTGTCTGAACCACCATGCCTCTTTGGGTCTATGGAAGTCCTGTCAACTGCATTGTGGGTGGGGAACAGGAACATTTGAGACCTTCTCCTCTGTTGCTCTGGGACTGCAGAGAACCCAGGGAGCTCTCTCAGGCCCTCTTTTTCTGTGGTGGCACCATTTTTCATTACAGATGTCCTAGCATGCTGGTATGCATGGTAGGGGACCTTGCACGGAGAGGTGCCTCCCAGGCTGCACCAACGTCTTTGCTACTCTGGCACACATAATCCTATTGAGAAGGAGAATGGGTATCCGAACCCAGAGTTCTGGGTGCGTACCAGCTTGCTTCTCTGCCTACATTCCCATCCTTCAGCTCATGGTCAGAACAGGGTAGTGTGAAGCTTCACCAGTTATTCCATATTTGTTATTTCTAGCATACACTTTCTGCCAGAATCCCTTTAGGGTTGTGGCATTTGATGTTGACGTGCCTGGATATGAGACTTAAAATGTATTTTCTCGTCTATTCTCTCTGCCATGAGCCTATTCTGAAGCTCATAAACTGAACCTTGGCTTTTTTTTTTTTTAATTATTATAACAATGCTTCCCAGAGGTAGGAAATGAGGGCTTCTAGTATGGCTTGAGTGGAGAATGAATGAAGCCATTCAAAATATTATTTGGCTACAAATGCGTATCATATGATTGCTAGAGAGAAGACATAAAGTTGAGTCTCAATGATTGCTAGAAAAAGGACATAAAATTGAGTTTAAGCTTCTCATGGCCAATGTGAAAAGGAGAATCATTTCAGGATTAATAATGTTCAAAGATTTCAAAAAAGTAATTGCTTAGGGGTAGCTTGGCTTTTTCTTATTTGAGATGCATAAAAGTTCTACCAGGGTCTTCATAGAAATATACTGTTATGAAGTTGATTAACATGAGGATATCTTGATAATGGTCATAGCATCAAATTTTACATAGCCACTACTTATCTTCTAAGTGTGTCAATGACATAATGATGTAGTGTAAACCACCTAAATAATTAACAAGTTAAGACAACATTACTCAAGGACCTGACTGTGATAATCTTATTGATCCAAGAGTAAATTTAAGAATAAGTAGAGTACTTTTTCTCAAAAGGCAGTCCACAAAACATCTGCACCAGTACCTTCTGGTATGCTTTTAAAAATGTAGATTACTGGTTCCCACCTATGATAAACTGAATTGGATTTTCTCAGGGTAAGAGCCAGGACTTTGTATTTTCAACAAGTGTTCTAGGTGATCCTATGTACAGTAGATGATCTAGAACAGGGATTCGTCACCTTTTATTTTGTGCCATGGACCCTTGACAGTCAGGTGATGCCTATAAACCAGAATAATATTTTTAAATGCAGAGAATCGAATACACATGATTGCAAAGGAAATCAATTATGTTGAAAAACACTGATCAAAATATTAAACAAAAATAAATTTGTGATCAATAATACATGTGCCTCCTCATTAATGCATTGAGTAACAAGATCTAGCAGCAGGTCGAATAAACACAATCGTTTTCAGGAAATGATGAGTATACATGATATTTTGAGATGCCTGCAACACCTGTAATGTGATATGATATGAAAGTCTGCTATTTTAATTGGCGAGAGTCTGAGGCACTGCTAATCCTCCTGTCATTTGTTACCTACATTCATAATTAAAGGAAGTTGGTGAAAAATGGAAGATATATCTTTTTTCTTCTTTAAGCTCATAGGCCTCTCTCAACCCATAAACCACAGGTTAAGAATACTAGTGCGGTGGGATGGGTGGAGTGCGTGAGCTTTGGGACGTCTTGCATAAACAAATGTGATGCATGTGCCCACATGTACATCACATATATGATATCTTTGTAACTCTGCCTAAGATAGAGTGAACACAG